ACAGCAGTCTGATAAAATGCTACGTAAATTGCTGGAAGTTTAAGCTGGTCATGTAAAATTTATTTTATCAGTTTACCAACTGTATAAGAGTACCTCAATGCTGTAGGCTTATACATAATGGACAGGTAGATATATGGGTTAATTAGTAAGTTTGTGGATAATACCATCTTGGCTGTTCTTAACATTGCTTGGTAGAGTATCTTCTGCATGAGAAAAAAAAGATGTTCTAGTTCTGAAGGACAACTCCCATGAACTGTAATTTGTATCTTCCTACCAGCGCTAGCAGCATGCTTCCAAACCCAGGAAGAGCTCAGCTCTCCCGCTGCAAGCCCTGGGAAGCTCCCTGAAAGCAAAACAGGGATTGAGGATGAGACCAAAGAGCTTAAGTTCTTGCCCCACTTGAATTGCAAGGTGTTCTGCCCTGAGTAGGCCAGAAGTATCCACAAGAATGAGGTACTTAAAGATATTTAAACACATGTATTCTACTTGCAAATACTTGTGTATTCACATTGTGACACAGACCACTTCAAGAATTCAGGAACAGACATTAATATCCATCTCGAAATCCTTAACAACAAGGAGAAAAATTCTAATATCCTCCTTGTCTTTCTTAAGTACTTATTATTATTGAGCAACATACTATAAAATTCTTTGTCACTTGTCAAAGATGGGAAATTTTCCACTGTACATTTGTAGACAGCCAGTGGGTCTAGGTCTAATGAGCCAGGATAAAGCAGGACTGGTTCTGCAAAGCCTAGTTTAAGTTCTCACAGATGGTGGGGGACCTTTCCATGAAGTGGGAAATACATTAAATGTAACTGACAAGTCTAAAAGAAATTTTCATCAGGAGACATTGTAAAAACATCTTTCTGTCCACAAAGTGAGGACCTCAAATTTCGTACCTGTTCGGGCTCACAAAAATAATGCCACAAATAACTCTCAGGTTACATGACATTACCATTCTTCACAAATGCTTTAAAACTGCAGCAGTACTATCTGTATTTTAATATAGGACTATGCAAACTTGTTATTAATGCGTTTTAACTCATTAGAATTATCTTGCTCACTGGACTTCTTCCAGACAGAAATTTAATTTCTTTGAGTGTTCTTATTAAATTTTGTGTAAACAAAAATGCATAATTATTTCCTTAATGAGCTCTCAGTCATTTTTTGCAAGGACTCTGAATCGAAACAAGCATTTCACTTGTCTTCCCAAGAAATTTCATTTTTTGCTCCCTGCTGTGCTGCAAATTTGCTTTGTATTCACTTTCAGTCAGATATCCCAACCGTTTATCAGGTGGCAAGACCTTACAAGAACATTATAGCTCCAGATTAACTGTCCCCTGATGCCACTTCTTCCTCTTCAGGTGCCTGCTCATTTATAAATCCAAATAGTTATGTCCTTAGTTATAACACTTCCAGGTGAAAGGAGGAGTTTTTCACCATTCCCACCAACAGCAAGGGGACATGCAGTGTAAAATACTGTGGTAGTTCACAATCCAACCGTTCCGAGTTCCAATCTGCCACTCCAGCATCTTGCAGTGATCCAGCATTTCTGGATCAGCAGCCTGTGTTAGACCTCTGCAGTGCACCAAGGGTTTTGTCTAATTAAAAACAGCTAAAAGAGTGCTGAAAAAGAGTCTCTGGCACCTTTGACACTGTGGTACACAAGCAAACTACTGTCTTCTGCCTGGGCAAACAGCCTACGTCCAACACCTAGACACACAACAACCTCCTGCCCCTGGCTGTGCCCGAAGGGCCATGCTTCACCTCTCTAAAGGATCAAGGGAAAGAACAAAAACCAGCACAGGAGAAGCAGCACCCATAGGGGTGCAGCGAGCACAAAAGCTCCCCTCCCAACGCTGCCAACAGCGTGTCCAAGAAGTGCTGCATCTGCTCCTGGTCCAATACACATTCCTGAGTGATGAAGCAAGGGCCCATTCTGGATTTTCATCAGCTCAAATGACAGTAATTAATCTTAATTCTCTTTTTGCTGAAAAATAGAATTTCTATTGCTGGAGGAAAACAAAGGCTATCAGTTGCTTTGTGGCAAATTAATCTTAAAGGGGGAATCTTCCCAAGAAAATCAATAGTTTAAAGCAAGATTCTATATTGGTTTTGAGCCCTGAAACACAAACCAGAGCCAGAAGAGATTTTTAGCTTTTCAAGTTTGCTCTTGTTTTGCTCTGTTTTTCTCTGTTTTTAATATAATGTGATCATTTGAAAAAGTGAATTTTTCACCTAGAAGCAAGCTTCGTTACCTTAATGGAAGACTCCAGTAATATTGAAAATGGATTACAGGATTACAATTATTTCAGAAGCTCTGAAGAAAGGCAGGCAGAGAGTAGGGAGACTGTAACTGTAACAGAGAGAAAGGCGACAGTTTTCAGAACTTCATTAGGCACTGGGTGCTTTTAAAGCCACATGCCTTGAGGCAAGAGGATCTTCTCAGACTACAGTGAGAGCAGATTTCTCAGGCATCCTCTCCAGGACAGCTCACACCCCAGCGGAGGTGCGAGGGTGAGGACAACAGGGAGGCAGGCAAGTCTGCAGAGGCAGGGCACTCGAAAGTCACTTGAACAGGCTGGTGAAGAGCACCAAGGGTCTCAGGCTGGAAGCACCACTATCATGCCAATATACTATGGGTTGGAGAAATGGATCAGCAAAGGAAACAACTATTCTGATTTCTCATCTGTTCAAGGTTGTTAAGTCATTGCCACAAACACCTATTGATTGCCTGAAGCGTGGGTGTGAATTTTGTATAGACCCAATGTCTCTACAAGACATCAAGAGAGGTCTCTGCCAGGGGGAGGACACTGCTCAAGGCAGAGCCAACCACACTCTTGCTCACAGCCATGCTGTTTTGTGGTCATACATAATTCAGGAGTCTCATTTCTTTAAGTCCCATCAATAAAAAACAAAGAGTTTGACATCAACCCAAGGCTTACATAGGTTGTCCTCAACTCGCATTTAAAAAATAAAGGAGAATTCGGCTCTTGCTTTTAGCTTATGCATTTTGCCTAGTCCTGCACTTTTATTTTGTCTTGTTAGATCAGCTAAATTAACCTCATTCATTGCTATTCTGTGACTTTGTACAAAAGGAATCTAAAGCAGAGGCTTTAAAGTCTAAAGCAGATTTTACTACTTATTTTCTTGCTAATTCACAAGCTAATTTAGCTGAAAGACTGAATGCATAAGAAAAATACATACATAAAAATGCATATAGAAGTACAAAAAAGTTATTGAGATTAAAAATTTCAGTCAGTGCAAAGTCCCAAGAAAGAGGATGCTCTCAAAGTTCAGTAGGATCCCAAACCGTTGACTAATGAACCCACAGCCTCCCCGTGCTATACAGTAAAGGCTCTCATTAATTCTTACAAGACCTTTAGCAAACGCACTGCATTTGTCCTGCTCCCCGGCTGTCAGAGCTGAGGAGATGACTTCACTGTCTATTCTGACATTTTAACTTTTTCGTTCCAGTTCGGTTTGTTTGCTTGCCTTAAAAAACACCTACTACTGTGAATTGTAAAAAGGTCAACCCAAAGAGGAGAAAATAACTGAAATAAACACATTATAGCAGCAATTTCAACCCTTGCAGGTTTTTTTTGTATGTTTGTTTTCTGTGAACTGCTAGTTGTTAATAGCAAAGCTGCATGCCAAAGACCATCTATCTTATCCATGCAAATGTAAAATGCCATCAACTGCGCAATTTAGGGGTCTAGAAAAGGACAGGGAATGGGGGAACTTTGGGTTTTACATTAGGAAAGCCTGTAAGATCCATTTCTGATTAATAAAGCAGCAAATATCAAGTTGTGATAGACTGAGGTAACAATAGTGCAGGTTATACATAATTAGGAGTGTTCTTACATCTCCCATCGCTCCCACCATATTGACACATACTGAAGAATATAGATCATATTAATACTGGTCTTGTTAGCACTGACTGTATGAATCCACTGATTTCAGTACACCCACTTTAGGTTCATGCAGGCACATGGAAGACACTGACTTTTTTTTTTTTTTTTTTACTGAAGCCCAAAAATACATCAAAAATATCATCTCAAGTCATTCTGCAGTTTTTCTGCTAATATGATAACCTAAAATCCAGATATTAAGATGTAAATGCTCCTTATGATCCTTTTCCACCTGCTGGTCTAAACTTCCAGCTAAACAGATTTACCTACAAAGCTTAAAATTCGAATCGTCAGGGCTGGTATCCTCAAAGTACAGAAAGTGCCCGTGCAAAAAGTTTCTCTGAGGAGAAACAAGCTCCTCCTCTGAGGAGATGCATTTGTCTATTCCATCATGAACTACTCTTGACAAACCCCATTTTCTCTAGTTTTGCAGTAGTGACAGAGATTTAGTCCTAAATGTAATTTAACCTTTTTTGTTGTATTACTACATGACACTCAGTACTTATCGTAATACATCACAGTGATCAGCTCACAATAAATCTCAGTAAATTCAGTCAGGAAAATGCAATTACTTGTATGCCATTATAACTTTTTTGCCTTTTTTTTTTTGTTTTGTTTTGTTTTTTTGTTTTGTTTCTTTACTTCTTCAACTGTTTGAGCTTAATACTTAGGCTGCCTGGTCTGTAAGGTTCAGAAAATGTGTTTCTTCCAATATCTCAAACCCTTGACTCTTCTGTGCTTGTTTTGAGGCTGGAAAGTAGAGATTACTTGATGCCCATGTCAAGGGCCATTGCAATAATAAGTCAACCCCTGCAGTGCAATTCATAACTTGTTGTGGGTAAATTCACTTAGTGGCAGTTTAGAAGACGACACACTGGTGCTGTGCCAGTTGGAGCCAGATGGTAATTCAAATTAATAAAATCATTCTACATACTGCAGAATCTCTGAAAAATTGCACTGTTACAAAATATCCTAAGCGTGGTTCGGATCCTAACACAAACCACTTGGGGTGTACAGTATTTATAAACAAGGTATGGTCTGATTTACCACTATTTACTTTTAATCCTTCCTTTCTCTGCCTTCTAGGTTCAGCTAATCCACTATAACCATGAGCTCTACACAAATGTCACAGAAGCTGCAAAGAGTCCTAATGGCTTGGTGATAGTTTCCATATTTATGAAAGTAAGTAATTCATATTCATCAATATCTAACATATAGATAATGGACTTATTTTCCAATGAACTGCAATTCTACACTGCTCATTAGAGCATTACAGCACCCAGAGGCTTCAAGCTAGACTCTAGAGACAGCATCATCCTGGGGACTGACCCTCAATCCCTGCTCAAAAGCATTTCCAGTGTAATGGAAGAAAATTTCTGAAGCATTTTAACCTGAAGTAAATCCCTTTCATCACCAAAGCTTACATATTTAGTATCTTTTATTTCCCTTTAGTGCTCTTGAATCTTAAGGTAAAGTTCCATTCAAGATATTAACCTCAGCATTAAAATATGTATTTCATGGAGGATCTTGGAAGACCAGATATCAAAATTATCTTTTGAACAGATCTAATATTTCACAAAGATATGCAGGCCACCACTTTCATTTAGTATGTACTGCATTATGACGAAAAACCCAGCTGCAATTGATACAGAAGGGTGGAAGGAGAAGGTTTCTTGCCCTTCCCGGGCTGCCACCTGCCATGACCGCAGAACGGCCAAGCATGGAAGGGACCTCTGGGGGTGACCAGGTCCAGCCCCACACTCAAACAGCGTCACCTGGAGCACTTTGTCCAGGACCATGCCAGGACGGAGATGCCTCCAGCTCCAGTGCTCTGTTATCCTTCCAGTAAAGAAGTTTTTTATTGCTGTGCAATAATATATGTTGATAATGTATATATCATTCCACACAAAAAATGCTGCCCAAGTCTACTGTTAGTCACTTTTTTCTCTTACCCCTCCCAAGTATGCCTGTCTTAATGTAGGGCTGAAAATTATTATTTTTTTTTTTTTTATATCTATCCATTTTATTCCTGCATGCAAATCAAAGAGAAGACAGATTTTATCTGCAAGCTAAACATTGTGCTAGAAGGAACTTCACCACTAAAAACATGTTTCTTAAACAGAAAAAAACTAGAATACTATTTGTGAAAAACCTACCATATTAACTGCATACATGTGTGTGTAAACACGTAAGACATATTCTCCAGAATGTTTCTCTGATTATTTTCACAATGAACATTTTCTCTTCTGTAGGTATCTGAATCATCAAATCCATTTCTAAATCGTATGCTTAACAGAGACACCATAACAAGAATAACGTATAAAAGTAAGTTTGCTTTCATTTGCTATGGCTAATAGCTGTATGCTTTTAGTATCAACTAATAGATTTAGTGAAAGAAGAAATACTTTATAACAGACAAAAATGACAAAGTTTACACTGCCAGTAACTCTGGACAATAGATTTGGGGATTTGAAAAATTTAGTAAGGGCATCAGTTCGCACAATAAACTTTCATGTTCAAAGCCTATTTTCACATTTGAACAAACAAAAATTAATGAAATTGCATTTAAAAAAATACATAGGCTGTACTCATACAGAATACTGAGGAGAAACTGCTCAGTGTCAGCAACTAAAGTTCTATGTGGAAGAGCCTGTATGTCATCCCAAGGTACCTGACGATGCTGCATCATTACCTGTTCTACTGCAATTATATATTAATATTAATTAACCATTTCTGTTTGTGCATAAAAATATGATAAGCCTATTCAACTATTGTTGCATATAATAGAAATTATATAAAAAGGACATTAATATGGCACATATGTTTGTTGTACTCACATTTGGAATGCTTTTAACTGTCAATGGTCAAAAATTCCATTTAGCAAATTGAGGAAGTGGAAAACTGCAGCTTAAATGTCAGCTAAAATTAGGGTAATTTAGAGAAAGCCATGAAAAATGCATAGAACTGAATGGATCAAATTAAACCTCTTCTCCTGAAAAGTTATTCCCTTTGTCATCTATTCACTTGAATTCCAAGCAGCCATTAAGTTAATAAAATAATAACAATATAAAAATTTAACTTTTGAAGTACCCTGAAAAAAAATTAAGGAAAATATCTTAAAACTCCACCCCTGTTTGTTATGCTGTAAATAGAGTTCAACATTTTTCAGAAAGGTCATTAATTGCGCTAATGAATCAGCTCTGATTTCTTTCTAACACCTTTTTCCCTCCATGTGTTTCATGCATTTTATGTGTCTCAGCTCTCCTGGCACTGCTCGGTCCCTTATGTCTCACTAGTTACCCCACAGAGCAAAGACTGGGCAACTTGTGGTTGCTCAGAGCAGACAGGTCACAGTTACGGAAACACTGCTGGAGGGAACGGGCAGCATCTTCCCCCGACTGTGTGAGCCAACACGTAACCATCGCCTACCCCAGCAGGCACCCACATCCCCCTGTAACGTCGCACAGCACAGCACGTCTCCTGCCTGGCCATCACAAATTTGCACAGTTTGCATTACAAGGAGCACAGGCAGAACATTCCCAATATTCAATATTTCCTTTGTGCAGCGCTTTGAGAAGCTTTAGCACGGCATGCTCCTTCACCCTAGGGTTGACTGAGGTTGACTGCATCCTACAGTCTTTCACCAATAGCTCTGCTCTTGAGTTTTGCAACTCCATTCACACTGAATTTGGTTATACTAATTGAAATTCAGTACTGAGATGAGCACCTAACACAGGTTTCAAAATCAATGATTATCGGAAGTGTTTTGATTTTAAACCAGTGTTGTCACTAACTAGGGTATCTGTTAAAATGAAACCCTCAGTAAATACAATGCACACAATATTCTGCGGCACATTGGTTACTTACTGTAGTAACAAGTATTGACTGGAAATTTTTTAGTGCAAATTGGGAATGTGAAAATGTTATTGAAAGTAATTTTGTAGTTGTCTTGCATGATGGATTATAGCATCATTGCTGAAAACTAATTTTACTTACTGTGTCGCAAGGATTTCTATCCCCCCTTTAGCAGCGGGAGCTTTGTAGCTTGTGCGGCAGGGATGGGCTCCGGCAGCCAAGATCCCAGCACTCCCAGTAGGAGAACGGGGTAAAGGATAAACAAAGGATGGGCTTAGAGCAGGGACAGTTAGTAACACAACTAAAATACCGGGCAGACAGCATTGAAGGACAACACGAGGACTAAGAGCTACCTACATAGCGGCATGAAATTTCCAAGGACAAAATGCAATGAGAGGGGGGTATCTACTATTGAATATTACTGGTTAAATTGAGGTAAAGTAGGCCCCAAGAAATGTCTAAGAATACTTTCAATGCTTATTTTATTCTGTTATTGTAGCAGAAAGGATCCACTTGGGTAGAGAAAAGTGATCTTTTAAACAGAGCTCAGACAGAAGTTACATGAGTCTCTCTAAAGAAGACAGAAGAATTGTCTAAAGAAGAATTGTCCTTCAGAAGGACAATTGATGAAATAAATCAGTTTTCTTTCACAACAGATGTGCTCCATTAGTTTTCCATCTGACCTCAAAAGAGGTCCAAGTGTTTGCCTAACACTGGAAAGAAGTGGCATTTGAAATGTCCCAAATGCCATATAGAAAATTTGTGCTTGCCCTTCCTCATCAAAAAAGCTGCCAGGCACTCAGACAGGCCAAAGCTAGGTAAAATTCTGAATCCCCTCAAGCTTTAGCCTTTTTATAGATAATGTACAAACGAATAGGGTATTTTGATTTTAAGAGATTACTCTGGGGGGAAAAAAAAGCATCAGTTTTCCAGAAACAAAAGGCTTCCCCTTTCTCAGAGCACCCATTTTGTGCTCCAGCTCATGCTGCCCAAGCACCTGAGCTCTTCTAACTCCAGTCACAAGCAATAAAAGACAGACAAGAAAAAACTAAGTCAGGATTTAAAGGCTGAGGATCTCTACATTCCCTACATCTTCTGCCTAGGCCTTTCCCCTTTGCATTATGCTGCTATGAACTTCAAAATGTAATAGGGCTTCCTTCATTCAGTAAATATTCCTTATCAACACTCTCGTTTTAAGGAGAACACATGTAAAATCTGTTATAAAACAGACCCCACAAAGCCGTTGCAAATCTAAGGATAGAAGAATATGATTTCCACCATTTGTTAAGAAAATTGTCAGAGCCAAGGCCTTTATGTAAATGAATGTGAGAGCTAATGAAATGTAATTTGTATAGAAAAGAGTTCATAGGTTCAGAAATCACCGCAAGGCATGAGCTGATCAAGATAAACAGAGTGTGGGCTGCAGACAGGCACGATGCTGGGAATCCAGTAAAGTCTGGAGAGGTTTATTAAAGGGAGCTTAGTACTGACTAGAGATGTAGAGGCGCGTACACACACACACACAAGTGGTTTTGACCATTCTGAACTATATATGTGCAATAAAAACCACCAATAAAGACAATGCATTGAAGTGTTGCAGTATATTACTGGTGCAAATGCACCTGTTTTGTTACAGATCTAGACCAGGAAGTCTTACTGAGATCTGGGGGAAGGAAAAGTGTACAGCTGCTCATGGGAAAAGCTGCTGACAACCCAACATGTATTCCATGCCCTTTCCTCAGGCCATTCCCATTGGAGATGTCTGACTCCCTACAGGAATATGACCCTAATACAGACATGAAGGGATCCTGCCTTCTTTTGGCCAAACTCTTATTTCATTATTCCATTCACTCTTCTCTTTCTTTTTTCTGATATACACTGAAATGATATTTTCCTCCAGTCACCTTACCATTAATTATAGCTCATGGATTTTGACAGCACAATTCAGTATCTCTTCATAAACACTCTCCAAATGCAAACAGGCGTGTTCAGTCATCTCTAGCTGTTAAAATTTAAAAGCATTTTTACTCTGCAATGCTACAGCAATGGTTTTGCACTTTCATCTGGACATTTTTTGGTTTAGAAAGAGGCTCTGTCAACAAATCGCATTGAACATACTACATGTTAATGAAAGCATACAGAGAGATTTCACAACATGACTAGTCCTTGCCAGCTCACATGTCTCCAAGATGCATATCAGTAGTGTAGTTTGGTGTGTTTATCCCTGAATATTTCCTATTAAGGAACTCCAACTGTCTAAGATTCTGCAAGGAAATCCAAGTTGCAGCTTTAAGAGCACCATCAAAAATCCTACAGAGCCGGCATTACCCATGAACAACAACGCACGTAGCATAGAAAAGTGTGATGACTTCTTCGAACTTAGAACTTTGATATTTTCTAAAAGATGTATCCATAACTTATTATATTTTGGTACATGTCCATAGGCTGGGTTTTGTTGCAGAGGGATCTCTCATTAATTCCCAGAAGCTTACAGTGAAAGCTGGAACCCTACTAAAATGCTTCCCAGCACGCTTTTTCACCCGGATTTCAGCATTCTGAGTGAGCTTGAACTGCATCCACCCCCACAGTGCACATGAAAGTGCAGGCTTCACTGAGCAGCTTTATTATCATGCATTGACCTTAACTTTCTCCTGAAGTAGAGGGCAATTAAGTTTTAACACTGTTAGCCTTCCCAAGGCTTTGTTGAGCAAAAATTATTAATCATTCCAAAATATGGTAAGTCGGCATTCACCAAACTCTGCTGCATCTAAATCAGTATCTTCAAGCAGCTTTTAGCTCCTGCTCTTAATTGAGATGCAGCCTTTCACTGTGAATACTTGGGCAGAACTCCCACGGAAGCTGTGCATGGGCATCTAAGAGAAGTTAAGGCAAGCAAGATCACCAATTTCATGTTATTTGCTCATGTCCAAAATTTCTGAATGCCCCAGAAGTTATGCACACTACACTGCATAATTGTGTAAAGCTGGCAATGAGAATCTTCCAGAATAACAATGGTGTATAAAACTGTTTTGTGAAACTACTGCTTTCTCTAGATAGTTTTTCTCCTTTATTCTCCAGATGATGCATACTTACTACAGGGGCTTAATATTGAGGAACTTTATCCAGAGACCTCTAGTTTCATTACGTATGATGGGTCGATGACAATTCCACCCTGCTATGAAACAGCAAGTTGGATAATAATGAACAAACCTGTCTACATAACAAGGATGCAGGTAAAAATAAAAAGATTTCCTAGGTCCAATATGTACAAAAGACAAATATTCTGAATGTGTATTTTTGTAGCTTTTACACATGAAATTAGATTAAATCTTTAACTGCAGGGACCTCTGCTTGCAACTTCTACAGCTTATGAAAGTCTTCCAAACATTCTGGCGAGTAAAAAATACTATTTAATCTAAGTATCTACATTACACGCATACACACATTGAAGTTGACCCCACTTTGAGTGAGGTTTTGGACCAAATGATCTCCAAGCACCTCTCCCAAACTCATTCTCCAATTCAGTGAATGAACATGTGGGCATTCTAGCAGTGCTGGACAAAAGGAATTGGTGTTCAGAAGTGTAACTGGGACTGTTTTTAGGTCAGAAATGGATAGGCAAACTGTGACCGATATGGCTGTTTAGGTACGTGCTGGTTGTACATTCATGTTGACAGAAATCCAATCTGTAGGGCCTGTCAGAAAAGCCTAGCCAATGTTTTCAGGTATGGAATAAGAAACAGTGCAAATATTTTCAGAAAAATCAGAAGTCAGACGATTGATACGCTGAGGCTTCCTATTATAAAGAAACAGGATACATTATTCAAAAGAGAACAGGATTCATCCTATAGACAAAATAACGCTCTTAAGGAAATGCACCACTGGAAAAGCCATGAAGATTACATTTCTGTATGGCTCACATACAGCCCAGCACTTAACTTGAGAAAGCCACACATTTAACATCAACTGCTCTCCTCCCTGGAACTTCCATCAGCAAGGTGCCTGCAGAACTGTGAGCAGATCTAACCCAATTCTCTTATGTACCAGAATCCCGAAGGAATGCTGGAAACAACCATCTGCCCGTCCCAAGCACACAGCAGAAGCAATCTGGACTGAAAAATGCAATGAGGAATTATAAAACAAGCCCCAATATTACTCTGGGATTTTAAAACCATATTAACATTGTAAATAAGATGCCTTCAGAAAGCCTGAGAGATATTTATCTTTTTGATATTCTGTACAATTCTGTCGAGATGCACAGAATGCCCTTTGCTTCTTTTCTAAATGGGTAGAATAATTTAGGAGAATGACACAGCTGAGAGAGAAGGGATCATGCCATACATGCCAAACTTTTCACGCAAGCAACTTGAACATTTCCTACAATAAACATTTTTTGTTACAGCAGAACGCGCAAAACAAGGATTACAGCATTTCTGTAGCCTATGCTAGTACCTATGGGGTATAATCTCATGATACTTACTCTTTGTCACGCTCTACTGGTTAGTTACATCCTCCACTGTTAGAGCTGCAAATTGATTTCATGGAATACTTACTAATTATATGTGTACTCACACTGAAAAATTAATGCACAGCTCAAGTTTTCCCCGGAAGCTGTTAAAGATCTTTGGTATGCAAAACCCAGCTACCAGATTTCTCAATTTAAACATTATTTCAGTTAAAATCTAGAGGATAATACTAACTTACAGCCTCTTAAATGTTCAGGTTGCATGTGAATATTTGCTCCACACAAAAGTAGTTATTGATGTTTTACTTAGAAGCAGAGGAAGCCATTTTAGACGAAAGCATTTTAGACCACAAAATGAATGCCTTTAGTTAAAGGGTCTCTTTCAAACCACCTCCAACTCCAAATCATTCAAATTCCTTTTAATTTTCATTCACTAAGCAGTCTATTAAGTAGTTTTGTATGTTGTTTACTTACAGGAAACATCAGCATTAAAAATCCTTGTTTTGTATTTTGTATAGATGCATTCTTTACGACTGCTAAGCCAGAATCAGCCATCACAGATATTTCTGAGCATGAGTGACAATTTCAGACCAGTCCAGCCTCTCAACAATCGATGTATCCGAACTAATATCAACTTTAGTTTACAGGGAAAAGATTGCCCAAACAACAGAGCACAGAAACTACAGTATAGAGGTACGTTCTAGCTCCCGCATTATCATTTCCATGCTTACATGGAGCTCTTTTTGCTGAAAAACCCAAGTGTATGACAAAATATATAAATAACAGTGAAATTCCAGATTTGTGGGACTAATGGTATAAGTCAAGTGGTGCATATTTGAAATAGATGGGGAAATTTGTCCTGAAGAACCCAGAAAAAGAATAAAATAACAAAAATCAGCCTAGGATGTCTAATATTTTTAAACAGCAGGCAGAACAGGCCTCAACTTTATAGCCTAATTTTACAGATTTCTTACCTCGCAAAGCACTTTTTCCTCCAATTTATCTAACTTGGGAAAAAAAAAAAAAGGGGGGGAGGAGTATAAGCTAGTTTTGCTAATAACTGTTCACAAACAAGAGAACACATTTCGGTCTGGATGTGCAACACCCAAACTTGCACCCGAATTTTTTGCCTAATTGGAAACTTCTGGATCACACAGGGGACATCAAACAAATGGACGGATCCAGGCACCTGCTGGTAAAGTCCTACATCACCACAGCTGAGGGCTTGCAACTGAGCACTAAAAATGTACTAAATGTAGTCTTAAATCTGGGTAGGTTCATACTTGGGAGATTATAAAAGCTTAATTATTTTCATTTTGTTTCTCTTTCCTTACAGTAAATGAGTGGCTCCTCAAGTAAGCAGGACCGAGCAGGCAGAACTCCTGACCTCAGTGGAATGCAACTACTGTGAATCAACATTATCCAAAATGCACCAACCTCATGCTCTCTTTGGGTTCACGACAGCATGCACCAACATGCTGTAAGAAATGAGCTGCCATGATGGAAACTCAACTAAAAATTCATTCATATGATCAGTGGTAACAAAAAATAAAATTAAAAAAAAAGGTAAAAAGACAGTATTACAGTAAACGTGATTACAATTTTGATACAGTTTTCCTGAACTAATTTAGCTTCACAAAAAAAGACTTTTCAGCCTTTGTACATATGAAATTCTTCCCCTTCCCTCCACCCCCCTCAAATTAAACAAAAAAAAAAAGAAAAAAAAAAGAAAAAAAAAAAAAGAAAAAAGGTGGCTCGGTACAGCATCAAAGTGGAGTTGTGTTCTGTGTGCCAAGTAATCCTTGGAAAGCTCTCATTATTTCACTATCATTAATGGATACTGACAAGACAGAACAAGATGACTGTAAAGGATACTTATTTCTAGGTTATGATCCTCCTGTTCATTTAATTAAAAGAAAGGGACAGACTTTGAGAGATAAGTATTGTAAATATATCACTGCAGAATATAAAGGAAATTGAAATATTTCCCTCTTTGTCACATATCTATAGTAGGATTTGCCAAGATCAGAACTGATCTATTTTCTGTTTCTTGTTTTACAACAGGTCATGCGTTGTGTTGGTTACTACTAACAACTCAATAAATGTGTTTAATAAAAAAAAGAAGTAAACTTGCTTTTTTTTCTTTTTTTTTTTCTTTTTTTAACTGGAATAACAAGCCTCTAATACTTGCGGCTGCATTATTTGTGTGTTTTTTTTTTTTTCGTTTTTTAACTTATTTGTTTGCAGCCAATTTAGGCAACTTAATGGCAACTGGGAACACAGTTAACAAAGCTAACTGCAGCAAAACTTGAACTCCACTGTATGGCTTATCCTTAATAAGAATTAGTTTTCAGAAGCAGAATGCAGTTGAAACATATCTCAGTTTAAAATTGCCATTTTCCCTGTTGAATCCATTATCAGAATAAGCAAATTCAACCTCAAAGATTGGTGGTGGAAAGGGATATATTTTCTTTACAGACAAAGCAGGAGCTGACCAAGTAAAAGCGAATGCCTTTTTTTCTTGTTTATAATAGTCATTCACTGTGTTTGGTTACTGTCAAGAACTCAATAAATGTGTTTAACAAGTTCATGTAGTGCCTGTTTGCCCTTCTTGCACATGAAAATTGTGATGTGTGCACTGCCCTGGGACAGGGCAGACCTCCCACTAACCAGTTCCTAACACTCACTTTACAACACAGCACCACAGAGAAGATTTGGAAGTTCACAGAAAGGACCAACCTTGAATTAGAGACTGCTCATACCAAACTGAAAAAGAGGCACTACAAGGACTGAAATTAAAATACTGCAAGGAGCTTTAGGCCCAAATTACATTGCAATTGACCTACCATTAGAATAACAACTACAATATTTAATCTGTGGCTGAATACAACAGGACAGTAAGTATTAGCCTGGAAGCTGAGTCTATGTTGCAGAAGGCAATTTGGAAAGGTGGGATAGCCCCAGCTGGAGATTCTGTGACTTCATCTACAACATAAATGGAGAAGACACCAGGCAAAAGCAAACACACACATGGTTTGGTGTTTAGAGGACTCAGAGTAGATACATGGGTGCAGGGGCAACCTGGAAGGAACCTGAAACTGTCAGCAATCCTGCTGCTCCATGGAAGGTGCAGAGAAATCACCGCTGCAAGAACAGAGATTGATCTGGGGGTATGTGACACAACCCACGTAGTGTTTGCAGCAGGTCCCCAACAAAAGACTCTGTTAGGACATGTGTGGTGCCCCATCTCCAACTCAAGTCAGTTTGGACATTTCAAGTGACTTTCACATAGTAGCTTCACAGTGTGCAGTGATCTGGAAAAGCCACAGAAATGCCACACTGAGTTACTGTTGCATTGAGGATTAATACTGTCAAATTCTGCTGCTGAAATAAAGCAAGATTACTACTTTAGATTTATTGAAATTCATTTAGCTAATGAAAAACAAATAACAAGTCACAGGTATATAATATTTTTTACATGTCACAAAGATCTTCAATTTAACTTTCAAACTTGTTGTGCTATTGGGAATGTTTCGACTCACATTTTTTCGTTTTATTTTTGGAAGCTTCCACTGAAAAAAAGTTACTGAAAGCACAGTCCACAATGTTTCAATCTATATTTTGGACAAATATCTGTCAGTTGTTGATTCAAGTCGGTCAGTGACAGAAGGTAGGAAAGATAAGCCAGTCTCCATTTTCAAACTTTTAAAAAGTAATAAAACCTATTTGCTATTTCACTGAAAGCTGGTTGAACGGATTTGAGAAGAGGGAGAGATATGACAGAAAAGGCTAGTCTGAGGACGAAGTCATGCTGTGCTTTGGATTAGGTAAAGCTGAAATAGAGAAGCCTTGCAAACAGAGAGATGCCGCAATCATTCTAAGATGCAGCAAATACATGTGTCAACATTTCCAGATCCATTTTGTGAACTAATGAACTCCATCTTGGTTTGGGGTTTTGTTTTAAAAAACCAGACCAAGCTTAAAGTATCCAGCACACTGCTCACATTTCAGGAACGCTCAGGTCCATACATCTAGAATCTCTTTTTTTTCCAACTCAGGCAACTTTCTCAAATGTCAAGAGCTACAGGGCACCCTAAGCAAGCCACACCTTATCACAAGGCCTTGGAGCAAAAACATGAAATGACACTACTAAACAGCTGACACAGAGACCAATTTGCCATGTACCAACCCCCTGCAGCATGATCCCATGAACACTCGCATACACCGATCCCTCTGGCTCGAGATCTTTCTGCCCACACTTCTCACTAGAAATCTGGATGCACACTGAGCAAAAAGCTCTGTGCTTTGTAGTAAAAGCTGAATTGCACTGTCATGCCCTCAACACTGTTCTTCCCTGAACCATTTAGATTATGAGTGAGACGCTTCACAACACGCACGAGCCGCCTGGCAGGGTGTAGCAAAGTGGCAGCCATGTTCAGTGAGCAATCAGTACCACAGGCAGGCCCGGCTGCCATTCCACAAGTGATAACAGACATTTAGAATTTACATTCTAGCAGGGAAGTCTCACATTTGGTGAGAATACGCTATCAAACCAGGTATCAAATTAGTGTGTTTATCTGATGATAAAAAGTGTGAGAAAATTCAAATTTACAGGACTGTGAAGGCTTCTGTTTCAAATAGCAACCAAATTTGACACAGTAATTTTTTACTTTAACTGAAAGGAAAAGATGATGTGCAGGAAATAATGACAACAGAATAGGAGGTGTGGGGTAAGGGCAGAAAGCAAGAGACCTTCAGCATTATTTGTACCTAGAGACATCCTGCATTTCTGTTCCTCAACCATTCCATTCCAGCTGTGAAAGCTGAAGGGGCAAACAGCTCAGGTACCTGCCTTGAAGCTCAGCCTTTCATTATAAAGCAAAATCCTACGAACCTTAAAACACACACACACCCACACCCACACTCCCTTTTCATCATTTAAAACTTCTTAATTTTCTGTAAAGTAGATACGCTAAGTGAAGAGGGGAGGAAGGAAATGGTGCTAAAAACTGAGATCTCAGATCCAGCAATGTTCACCAGGGCCAGGAACACTTGCCTGTGCAAGGCACGACCGCCCTAATCCCATCCAAAGTCTCAAACAAAAAGGTAAGCTGGCCAGTTAAGGGGAGAAAAACTTAAAATGCACCCAAGTTCAGGTCTTCGTGAATTGCTCTACTTGCTCCGAGTGTCAGGACACCAAGATGTGAAAACATCTTGGCCTTAAGAAATTTCAATAGTTTGTCATAGACCTGAGATACAGGGACCGAATGGAGACACGCATCATTTAAAGGACTTTGCACCCAGGGGTGCTTCAATCCGTAGGGCTTTTCAGAACACTTGTTCTAAGAAGTGCTTGAGATAACACTGCAAAATCCTCCCTGCTTCCAACTGACTCTGCCTTTACTCCCCAACTTGAATTTTCTAGGGTTTCCTACTTTGCCACCTCAACACAAGCTGTCCTTTCTATCCTCTAACCAGCACTGATGAGGGCAGTAAAGCCTCACTCCTCAGAATCACAATACCACTGTAAAAACACAAAAGGTGGCAAGTGTCTCCATGTCTACTGCTGTCGGAATCAAGTGCTTTCTTGAACATCTCAGCTGCCATAAAAAGGAGCTCAAATGCGAAAACAGGCTGGAAAGCAAGACAGGAGTGCACCCAACAGGCCAAGGGCAGAGGGCAAGCAAAACTCTTCCACATTTAAAGGATTCCTCACAATCTCTAATCATGAGAAGAGAAAGGGGTGTCTTTGTTCCTTTAAATACTCAGGACCAATGACACTGAAATTATGTTACAAATAGAAAATAAAGATGAAACTTCTTAGCAGCTGCTTTCAGAAACTGAACTTTTTCCAGAAGGCAAACACTGAAGAAAAAAATGGTGGGCATGCTTTCTCACAAATATGGAAAATGCAGCAAAAAGGCAGATATTTGGCACGTTCTTCTGGATATCTCAAAGCTTCAGTACTGGACACTACCCAAAAACTCTCAGATATTTGGTTCCTATGGTCAAAAGAGTATAAAGTGTTCAGGGAGATCAGCCTTAACTGCTCCACAGCTCGATTTTCTTTTGTTTTAATCTATTTTATCTCTGCTATAATGGCTGACAAAGCAGAGAGAGTTTGCTGCAAGAAAGGCCGATTAAATAGCAAATGCCTTACTGCAGTTCTTAGTGCACTCTAAAATTATTCAAGGAGCCTGTTTGCATGGTAAAGAACAAGAGTCATTTATAATATGAAAACTAATGCAGGCAAACATCTTCCATTTCCTACAGCAGCAGGCTTCTATTCTAATAACTAAGGATGTGTCAAACACATAAACAGAGCAGAAAATGAAAAACAGGATAATAAATCTTACAAGGAGGGAGAAAGAACTCTTAGCATTTAAGCAGAGAAAAAAATCCAAGAAATATTTTTAAAAAGCACACTATGAATTTAGGGAGAAGCTTCCACCAATCCCACCACTAGACTCAAAAGTAAATCCGAGCACAACACATTATATCTGCAAGACAAAATTTAAGGCCATGAACTCCAATAAGTAATTCAAACAGGTACGTAATTGTAAACTACACATAGAGTAAATATGTGGCAATATATTGTGATGGGGAAACAGCATATTAATTATTCAAATATGGTTAAAAATCTC